TGTTTGCATAACATTGCTAAATCTGGTAGCCACTAAACAAGGAACGGATATATTTTTCTTTTATTATTTCATACTCTGTACCATATATCCCTTAACATTCCATGTTGCAGTCTTCTAGATGCTACATTGAGACCCAATGACCCACGTTGTTTTCAGGGCTCCATTAAGTATCTGATTCCAGGATGAGTTTATTTGTAAAGCCCAGAGGAGCTTTGTTTCAACCAACGGTAGCATCTAGCAAATATTACCTTAGCTAAAACATTTTCAGGCCTGGTTAGTACTTGGAAGGAATTACCAGGGAATTCCAGGGCTGTTGGCTAGACAAGAAATCATGAACCAATCCCAGGAATAAACAATAAACCACTTGCTGCCAAGAAAAGTGCACACAAGTGTTCCTGTACTCACCAACAATTGAACTGGACTTGAGGCAATCCTTAAATGAGCTTCAGGGTATGACTTTCTCTGTACACAGGTTTTATTTATATGCTTCCTATATTTGCCTCATTTTGATTATAGTAAAGGTTTTCATTTATACTACCCAACCCGTTCCTCATTGGATCATCATTTCAGAGATATTTCCTTATCAGATTCCTCCATGTCCAAGAATGACAAACCTTCTGATATACTGCCTTCACCAGCAAATCTGGGATACATTCAGAGATGTTTCTGCCTTGAAAATAGCCCATGTCGAACTCTACAGTATAGTCAATCGCCTAGGAAACATAAAATTTGTCAAATTTCAATTCCACAGGAGTCATGGCTCCTAGATTTTGAATGCATTCATTTGAAGTACCTTGGTTCAAAAAGTATTCTCCTATGGTGCACTGTTTTGCCCAGTTAAAAGTTAAAGGAATCAGAGTTTTAGTACTATATAGATACTAAAGAGGTTTATCTCTGTTTCTTATGCACAGGTTCCTTTCTCTCAGTGCTGGGCAGACAACACTATCGAGAGAGAGATGGCTAAGAGCAAAGCAATTGGAGGCACTTCGTAAAGCCAGATTACAGCAGCAAAAATCTGTAAATGGGAATGAACTTTAGGACAACAGTACCCATGTTTATAAGTCTGTAAACATGCCTAATATTTGTAGAGCTGATATGAACAGAGCTTATGTTTATACTGGGTTTTGTAGATAATTTATATCAAAGTTATGGCTCTTTTCTCAAATGAACCCAATTTATGGTGTTCAGCAGATTAACACTGATAAATTTTGGAGCTTGTTTTGTAACCAAATTAGTAACTATGGAAAATCTGTTTGATATTAAAGATTTACTATAAAAATGATGTCACACTTTTACTAAGAATTATTATAACAAACATTTTACAGTATTAGAACACATAACCAGATTTTAATGGGATTGGTCCGAAAATCATAGTAGAAAGTACAATTTGTTGAAAATGGCTCTCCATTTACAGTTGGTTCCATAAATGATTGCTATGTGAATATATCCTAAATAGTCATAAATTTACTAATTACTATTTATCCAGAATGTAAAAGTGTAAAATCAGTATAGAGTTATCTCTATCTTTGTCATGTTTATTTAAGACCATCAAAATGGAGATTGTATTTAACGTATTTAACGTATATATCATACCTACTGATATTATTAGCATTGCTAGTTAACACTTTAATGTGCTGGGTTAACATTTAAGTTCCTCAATTTGTTATTTTGGTTATTTTGAATTATTATTTTATTCCATCATTACTTTTTTTATATGTACAGAACTCAAAACAGCAAGCATAACTAATACTCCTGCCTCCTATATCCTGAGGCAGACAGCTCTGCAGATTATATTCTTGCAGTATCTTAAAATGAAGTTTTATATCAAAAATACAACCTAACTTAAGTGACAATGCTGAGCTTTCTTAAACATACCTTGTGGACCCACAATTTCATCACTGAGTTACAATGTATCCAGAGTAGCATTTCATGAATATACACAGGCCATACTTTCTGAACTTTAGAATAACTGCAGATAACATACAGCAAGGGAAAACAGTATAGAATAAAATTTCGAAGAAATGTGTATCCCATTACTGATTTGAATCTTCAGAAAGATAAATTTGACCTACTGGTATTTTCAGAATATGTAACTCAGGAACATTCAGCAGGAATAAAAGAGTAAACTGTTTCCTGTAAAAATAACAGTCTTATGTTACCAGAGAAACAACATTTTAAATATGACTTACATCAGCTTTTATGGCTGATTAGCTAACAGTCTGATATTTTCAATTCCCTCTACCTTGAGGAACAGTGGTGGAAAATGTTCATGCTAGTCATTTAGACATCCCTTCAATCTGTTACCAAGTAGTATAACTTCATTAACAACCTATTCTTTATGACCTCAGACAGATCTGTGCAGTTGCTCTTCTGATGCAATCACTGTATCAAAATAGCATCCTCTGAACTTTTTTTAGTAATTAAATATGTTGCTTCCCCAAAAATAATAAAGATGTCTAAAGAAAAAAATGGGAGCAGAGAAGCAGTTTTAGTCTTGTAAATGAGAAATCAAAAAAGATCTTTAGTATTCTGAACCATATACACCAAAATGCATAGTATTTTATTTTTTATTAAAATAGCTCGTTTCCCCATTAAAACAACACAGTTTTATTGTATATTTATTCTAAATATACTTAAATGTATAGGTACTCTCAAAAGAACACACATTAAAGTATTAATAAATAACAAAATACAAACAGTACAAAAGTATCACACAAAATACAGCTTAAGTAAGTTATCACTTCTGATATAGTAGAGACACTCAGACATATAATTGACTTATTAACTGTTCAGAACATCACATGCAACCTAGCTATAGTACAAGTGTACTAACAACGAAACCCAAGTTCTAGAATAAGGACAGAGGTTATGAAGGAACAAGACTGCATTCAGTGTTGTTTCTGCTGCTACATTCTATTATAGTTCATCCATCACAAGACTGTTTTGGGCAACTGCTTCTAAGAAATGAGCTAGTATTTAAATACAACTTCATTTCTCCGCTGATGTCAAGATTATAGCTACAGTAACTTCTGAAACATGTTGCACTGATCACATTTTAGACAAGAGTAAGGTATTATGGAGGAGGAGTATGTTGTCAGTTATATTTCTGAAGATTATTCCTTTGCATATGTTTAGGTAATATCTCCTCACATGGATACATTTTTATTCAGTATTTGATACCAAGCTTAAGAATTTTGCTTTGATCCACAAAAGACTACGCTCTAAGAATATGCAACTAGTTTCTTAGAAAATAATGCATTACGGTTTCCAGAAACACTGATTTTATTTTTTAAAAGAGGATTATTTTTTTTCCCAGCTAGAAAAGCCCTTTCGGCAGCTACCCTGAAAGCTTTAACAAACATGTTAACTTCTAGATATCATAACTACTAAATCAACAGAGGTAGAAAGAAGCAAGGAATTGGTGAAGGAAAGGGAGATTAAATGCCTAAGCATATTTTTTTAAAAAAAATACTCCCTCTGCAATGACCATTTCCTTAGGAATGAAACCTGTTCAAGGAACACAAAATTTTAAAAAATTAAATAAAAAAAATCTGGAGAAAAATAAATAGAATGCCATCTATGAGTAAAATATTCACTGGTACAGTGCAAGATTAATAAGGTAACGGGTGTTTAGTACCAGACCCTTAATATAAATATTCTACACAAATCTGAAGACTTATAAAAAACTTGCCCCAAAAGATAGTTGTGCATCCAATTACCTAAACGAGCAGCATGCACATCAACAATTGCTGTGTGAGTTACCTGTTTAGTATAATTTATTGTCGCTCACTCGCTACAAAACAGTTCTGAAGCCTGTTCAAAACCCAACTAATTTCTCCCATCAGTTTCTGTAAACATTGTTACTGGTATTCTTAATACCAATACTCAGTGGCAGTTTGCCCTTCTTCCCTAGAATTTATGTTACAGTATTTGTTTAATAGTATGTACAATTGGATCTTGAGCTCTAAATCTGAATTATTCGTGTTTGACACTGGGTAAACATTTCTTTCAATTCATTTTGCTGGCTTTCATTAATAGTTTCTGGTTCAGCTGGGCTCTTCTGGACTTTAGCCACAGCAAAGTTGATTCCTTGGGTTAAACCAGCTTGTGTAATGTTAGCTACCTGTGCCATTGAATTGCGTATCTTTGCAAAGGGAGAGACTGCCCTGCTACCATTATTCTCTGCTGGTGAAGGAGTCACATGAAACTCTGGCTCAGCTTCGAGAACAATAGATGAGGAGCCTGGGCTTTTATGAGACTTAAATAAATTCATCTGTTCAACCACTAAATATTGTGGTCCTGTCTCTGAAAGCGATACATCCAGTTTAGATGGTCTGGAAGGAGCCTTATTAGTTCCCAAACAATCAGTTGCCTTAGCATTATTGCTAATATTATGCGCTGCTTCTTGGAGTTCTTGAAAACCTCTCTCATGTTCTGAAACATTGTTCATCTTAATTTTAGCATCCTGGACAAATCTATGACGGTAAACATCAAGCTGTTTAGTGATATCTAGTGTTGTATTTTCAGCAGACAAACCTTCTCGAGAAGTTTCGCCTTCAGTTTCATTGTTCATTTGGTGTCCAGATTGTGCAACATAGATGTCTGAAGGAACAGGAATGCTAATATTGATATCAGTGCTGCTCGCAGATTGGGACCGACTATTTAACCGAGGAGCAGCTGCAATGATACCACAGCTAGGTAAGACATAATCTATCTGTCTGTTCTCTAAAGAGTCCATGAATTGCTGGTCATCATCAGATCTGGAATTTGTCAGGAAGTCATCTGAATGGAACGAGTCGTTATCAGACGAGATCTCAATATCCGATTCTATATTGGCATTAGTATCAGTCATGGCATTTTCCATGGTTTCAAGACTACTATCAGATTTCCAAAGATTTACTTTCAGATTGGGCTTTAAGAAATTGACTTTCATTTCAGGCTTTGTAAAGTTTCCCAATTTTCTAAGATTGCTGATATTTACGTTGGATTTGGTTTGCTTCACTTTTTGATTAAGAGATGAAAACTTGTTCATTAAGTAATTCTTCCCCAGGGCCAAAGAACCTCTATTCTGGGATCTGATCCCAATGATGTCCTCATGTGGTTTGCTGCTTTTCCTGAAAAAGTGAGAAAACTAATAACATCCTTTGTTACTAGTATGATAAAAACAGAGCTGCTTTTGATCCTTCTTTTACTATACAGGGTGTACCAAAAGTCAGGCTTCACAGACAATTTATTACATAAATTACATTAAATGTTTGAATTGGTTACTGGTTTTTTTTAAACACTGTTTTCTTTTACTCATTTGAGGCATGACCTTTAAGCATTCCTAGGTACAGTAACATTTTCTCTGGCAAAAAATAATAATAATAATAATAAAGCATTTTGATTGGCTTAGAAGGTCTGACTTTTGCTGCACCTTGGATATTGTTTAAGCATAGCATATTGTTGACCTTAACACCAAGGCACTCGGCATCCCCAATATTGCAAGACAGAATCCTCAAGTAATATAATTATTTAAGAACTTTTTGGACTTCTTGGTGTCCTCAGAACTTGGATGTTTTCTTGTAAATATGTCACTACCCAGGTAAATAACTACTCAGTGCTACTCAACCCCAAAAACAAAGTATCAAAATTTACATAATTTATTTACCTAAAAGTAGGAAGGTAATTAATACAAATAGATGGCTGCTGTATAGGTAGTCCTCAACTTACAACTATTCCTTTAGCGACCATTAGAAGTTACAACAGTACTGAAAAAAGTGATTTACAACCAGTCCTCACATTTACAACCATTGCAGTATCCCCACAATTATGTGAAAATTCAGGTGCTTGGCAAATGGCATGTATCTACAATAGTTGCTGTATCCCGAGAGTTGCAACCTTCCCAGCCAGCTTCCAACAAAAGCAAGGTCAAAGGGGAAAGTTGGATTTGTTTAACAATCACATGGTTCACTTAACTGTACAACTGCAGTGATTCACTCAACAAATGTGCCAAAAAAAAGGTTGTAAAATCAGGCACATTAACAGCCGCCTTGCTTAGCAATGGAAATCCTGGTCTCAATTGTGGTTGTAAGTCGAGGACTATCTTTAGTATATACTACAAGTGTTGTAGCTTAAAGTGAATTAGGTGTCAAGGAATTTATGAAAATGAACAAAATTAAAGTTCACCTCTCCAGTTTTTTCTCAATAATGGAGACATCTAATCCCATGGCCTGCTTGGTGATTCGCAGCATTTCTGCAATGCACTGAAGTGTGTCTGAAATTCAAAGAATTAATCCACAATTCCTGAAAAGATCATACTCTTCACTAAATGCTAATGATAGTTTATTTGAATATATTTGCTTTCAAAAATTAATATAGGATGTACTTCATACTCACATGAAAAATTCACCTTCATTTTACATCAAATGACTCACATAAGCAAAAAGCAAAGAATTAAGCTATTTTAAGTTGCAAAGATTCATTTTTATCCTTGAGATAAAATTAAAAATGAAGATTTCTACTAGACACATGTTGTACCACTGATTCAATTGGTACATCTGTTGTCTTGAGACATACTGCAAAATGCATGGCATAATGAGTAAAGTATAATTGAAAGGGTACAAATGTACCAAATTTCTCTTGAATGTGTATGCTGCCCTTCCAGAGATGTACTCTCTGCTCAAAAATTAGTAGAAGGACTGATGTTGGTGAAAAGCAGGAATAGGCAGAGTTCTGGTGTCAGTAATTTAGTAATTAAATTGGCTAATTAATTTAAAATACAGTTAATTTTCAAACACGTTATTTTCTTATTCAACTATTTAAATGTCCCATTTTATTTTCATAGCTAAATTGTAATTGCTCAGAAACATCTAAATTGATTCTATTCATTCCAAAAAGTAGATACTTACCTTTTCCATCCTCTTCAGGGCTGCGCACCACAGCTCTAAGTGTATGGAAGTACCCACTTGTATCTTTGTATTTATAATGAAGCCTCATGCATGAGAACTTGGGTTTTCCAAAGAATGTTGGTTCAGGTCCTTGTTAAAGAAATAATAATAACAATTCAGGAATGCAGAGTCTACTTTTTAAACAACACACTTCATTATAGCTGTTCTGTCCCAGCCTATGCGAACACTACTCAGCTGCTTACTCATGAGGAAAACCCCTTTGCATTGAACAGGGTAGGATTTGGTAAGATAAACCCTCTTTATTTTTACAGAGCTTTTATGGAACAAAACTCCAACCAGTCCTTTATCTGTTGAAACGAACAAGATTCAGTTTGAGTTCTCAGCTGGAATGCTCAAGGTTTAAATCACTCAAACATACATAAAGCCGAAAACTGGGTTAAATATTCAAGAATCCTGAGGCAAGAAATCCAATGATAGAAGCACAAAGCCGTAGCATGAATGGTTGGCTTTGGCAACCAGCCCCTTCCACGCCTGTCCTCTTTATAGTCCAGCCAGGGCGTGGCTTCTTAGTGTCTTTTGCTTTTCCTGGAGAGCCGCCCCACCACCCTCCGCTGTCCTGCACACCTTTCATCCCTGCGCATCTGTGCATCTGGAACAGGCCCCAGCTGCTCTTCGTCTTTGCTCAGTTCAGGTCCCCAACCCAGCTGTCTCTCTGCCTGAGCATGAGTAGATGGGCCCAGTGTCACATCTAGTTCTGAATCTTCAAGCTCCTCAAAGCCTTCCACAGACTCTGATGTGACCCCAGGCAACCCTTCCCCCTCATCCGATTCATCTGACTTGACTGCCAGATCTGCTGGCAGGCGAGGACTCACAACAATATCCACCCGGAACAAGGACTTTCCTAGCTCAACTGGAATGAACTACTATTGGGTTCTACTTATCCCTGAACTGTATGCTGTGATTTTGTTCTACAGCTTCAGTGATACCCCATTAAAAGATTAATCCCAATTGTTGTATGTTTTTCTTCCTTATACCAGTGAGTGGTATTAGTGAATATTATCGCTGCAGAGAGTTTAGTTTATATCCCATTTAGCAATGAAGCTCACCAATTACTTTTGGTTATTCAATCTCTCAAATTAATCTACTTTATAGAAAGATTACAAGAATAAAAGAGGAGCAAGAAATTGAGTTCCCTGGCAAAAGGCAGAATATCAGGGTAACCTTTTCTACTGTATCACTTTAAAATCTTAATCACAGTGATTGCTCCATAGCATTTGCACACATGGAAACAGCCACTGGCAGTAGCAAAACAGGTAAAGAAGGGAATCCCTGGAAAAGTTGGTACATGCTATGGCTGCTCCATGCCACAGCCATTATTTTATTAAACCCAGTACAGCCAACAACAGGTCTGCCTCTCCTGTTTTTTTCCAGTTTGCTCCTTATTCAGCCTCCTTTAGCCTATGCCATCCTTAAGAACAGTATATTTAACCTCCCATCCCCTCCCCATGACAAGGCAGGCAGTTGGCTTATGTTGTTCATAAGGAGTTGAGTTCAAAGACAGCCACATCAACTAAAGGGAAAGGGGAAAGAGAAGGCACTTTAGTTCACAGGCAACACAGAGGGGGAGCAGAAAGAAAAAGAGAAAAATGCACCAGTTTTGCTTATTCACCTGGTAAGGTCCTCCAGCATTGTCCATGGGGTCACGCTGGGTCACACACGACTTCGCAATTAACAACAACAACAAAGGTCCTCCAGAATTTACCTAGGCCACAACCTGGAACAACTAAGATGTTCCTGGATTCATTTCAGCTAACTGCAACCCACTCAGAACAGTTCAGCTAAACTTCAGAGCCACTATTCATGAGCTTGTTTTCGCAACTGGAAACAAAATATTTGTTCATTTGTTTCATGACAAAGAGTTACAATCATTATACAAAAGAGAAAGATTTTTTAAACTTTTTTTTTTACAATTACTGATATGCTCCAATTGCCCTGGCAAGAAAAAGGGGTATAGAATGCAAAATACATACCTATTTCTATCTTCTCCAAATTTTCAAGGCTCAGCCTTTGATACTGATTGACTTTATCTATTTCATCATCATAGCTACAAGGGGGGGAAAACAGTGCCTAGAATTAAATCTTCACTCATAGTGAAACCATCGATAATGCACTTCTGACAACTTAGACTACAACAGATGTCCCCAACCTTTTGGGCACCAGGGACCAGTTATGTGGAGAGAGATTTTTCCGCGGACCGGAGGGGGCGTGGTTTTGTGTGCTGCCTGCATCCCGCAGATGGGGCTTTGCTTGTTTGTGCAGCCCAGTTGTTGGCATGCCACGGACCATTACTGGTCCAGAGACCGGGGGTTGGGGACCCCTAGTCTACAATGTGAAATGAAAATGATTACTTACTAGGCTATGTAGTATGCAGAGTTAGAAAGTAAAAGAAGAACATCCACATCTCTATGCGTAGCATCAATCAGGCTAAAATAAAAAGACAGTAATAACTAAAAATGTTGAAACATAAATCTCATAAACACTTTTTGAAGATTTTTCTATTTTGTGGTTAGAATGGAAACATTTATTAATAAATCATAAACACCATTCCTGATTCCTGAGCCAAGCAGATGGAGGATTGGCTTCCTGCCCCACATTCTGAGATTCCCGTTCTGAGCACATTCATCTCACTGGATTCACCCCCCCGCCCCCCCGTTCAGCTGGTCTTTTATCTGCTGAAGAACTAGTTTCTGAGTGTTGATGTCCTTTAGAGAATAAACACTCTTAATTATTTTATCCTTCATTATATGCAATACATTGCTAAATAACATGTATTGCATATATAACAATACATGTTATCTGCTAAATATATATAACAATACATGTTATCCGCTAAACCCAAGAAGTTGCAATCATGATACAGCAGCCTCTCATGTAAATAGTCACAAGGCTTGTAGCATTATAATGATTTTATTTCATTCTTGAAACAAATATTCATGAATGTTAAATCACACAATGAAAAACAAAATGACTAAAGAACTACTTAAAAACCACTAACAATAGAACCAAAACCAGAATAAAACCTTAAGCTTAGAAAATATGAGGGAAAAGTACTTTCTCTAGCACCAAATATGGACCATAAAGTAAATGCATAAATAAAAACTTTCTAGCAAGAACATTCTATAACTGTGTTATTAAAAATATGCTTCCCCTAATACCATTTACTAAGTCTAAAGATACTGAGTACCAATGAAGGAGAATATTTGGAGCTCGGGTTGAAATGAGGGGTTCTTGGTGCTCTCTGAGCTTGCTAGTAAAGAGTCCTTACTAGCACTGATGATGTTACCTAGTTAGGGTAATGAAACTTCTGCAAGAAAACAAGCAAGCTCAGAGAGCACAAAGGACCCCTCATACTGAGTACCCCCCAAAGAATGAATCCTCTGAATATTTTATGCTAAGCAATCAGAATAAGCAACAAATAAATCTCAGCAGCACATCAGGATAAACAGTCCACCAGTATATTTTGGTTACCATATCACAAAAAAGATGTTGAGAGTTTGGAAAAAATTCAGAGAAGAGCAACCAAGATGATCAAAGGCCTGGAGACTAAAACATACAAAGAACAGCTATGGGACTTGGGTTTGGCTAGTCTAAAGAAAAGAAGAAATATGAGAGACATGATAGCAGTGTTCCAGTATCTGAGGGACTGCCACAAGGCAGAGGGGGCCAGGTTGTTCACCAAAGCACCAGAAGGAAGGACAAGAAACAATGGTTGGAAATTGATCAAAGAGAGAAGCAACCTGGAATTAAGGAGAAAGTTCCTGGCAGTGAGGACAATCAACCAGTGGAACAGCTGACCCCCAGAAATCGTGGGCGCTCCATCACTGGAGATTTTTAAGAGGAAACTAGACATGCACCTGTCTGAGACAGTATAGATTCTCCTGCTTGACCAGGGGGCTGGATTAGAAGACCTCCAAGGTCCCTTCAAGGTCCCTACATAACATGGGTTATGTAGAAAGTAAACACAGGGCCAGTCATAAAGGACTCAAATGTCTATACACCAATGCACAGAGTATGAACAGCAAAGAGGATGAACTAGAAATTCAGGTTAATGAGGGCAGATATGATATTATTGCCATTACGGAAACATGTTGGGATGAAACCCACATATGGAACACACAGCTAGAGGGATTTAAATTATTTAAAAGGAACAGAACAAATAAAAGAGGAAGTGGAGTTGCTCTCTCTATAAGAAATAACTACATCTCTACAGAAATAGAGCACAACAATGATAAAAACTGTCTTGAATGCATTTGGGTCAATATAAAAGGGGAAAAAATGACATTGCCATAGGTGTATACTACAGGCCACCCAACCAACCAGAGGAAATAGATGAACTTTTTGCTAGTCAGCTAACTAAGGTATGTAGGAACCACATCACAATAGTAATAGGGGACTTTAACTACCCTGACATCAACTGGGAGACAAACTCTGCACCCAGTGGAAGATCAAACAGGTTCCTGGCAAACCTAGCAGACAACTTTGTCTCCCAAAAAGTAGAGGAGGGAACTAGTGGATTAGCCATTTTGGATCTAATTCTCACTAACAGAGATGAAATGATAGAAGGTGTTGAAGCCATAGGAACCCTGGGAGGAAGTGATCATGCAATATTGGAATTCCACATTATGGAAGAACAAGCAATAGAACACAGTCAAACTAGAGTCTTGGACTTCAAGAGAGCAAATTTCAATAAACTTAGAGAGGGCTTGGAAGGATTCCATGGATGAGAACCCTCAAGGGGAAAACAACTCAAGAAGCTTGGGAAATTTTGAAAAATGAGATAATAAAAGCTCAGTCTAGCACAATACCAACAAAGAGGAAAAATAACAGCTCTCAAAAGAAACCAGCATGGCTGCATAAAGAACTCTCTGACAAATTGAAAGATAAAAAGGACAAGTATAGAAAGTGGAAAGAGGGGCACATAACGAAGTCAGAATATCAGCAAATAGCCCGAGCCTCCAAAGATAAAGTGAGGAAAGGCAAGGCTCAAAATGAACTAAGGCTTACGACCAAAGTCAAAAATAACAAAAAAAGGTTCTTTCAACATGTAAAAAACAAGAAAAAAGTGAAGGAAATGATTGGCCCATTAGTGGGTGAAAGTGGCAAGAAGGTGATAAGCAACAGGGAGAAAGCAGAACTATTTAATTCGTGTTTTGCATCTGTCTTTACACAAAGAGAAAAAACAGACCAACCTATCAAAAATAGTGCCATAAAAAACAGAATAGAAACACAAGATAGGCAAGAAAATGGTAAGTGAGCACCTGTCCAGCCTAGATGAGTTCAAATCGCCAGGACCAGATGGATTACACCCCAAGGTTCTCAAGGAATTGGCAGATGTGATCTCAGAACCACTGAACTATATTTTTCAAAGATCCTGGAGCACAGGGGAACTACCAGAGGACTGGAAAAGAGCTAATGTAGTTCCCATCTACAAAAAAGGGGAAAAAATGGACCCAGGAAATTACAGACCTATCAGCCTGACCTCAATACCTGGGAAGATCCTGGAAAAGATAATCAAACAACAAATCAGCGAACACCTAGAGGCAAACAAAGTCATTACTGAAAACCAACATGGGTTTGTCAAAAATAGATCATGCCAGACAAATCTTATTGCATTCTTTGACGAAGTGACAAAATTAGTGGATCAGAGGAATGCTGTGGACATAATTTACTTGGACTTCAGTAAGGCATTTGATAAAGTAGACCACAACCTACTACTCGACAAGATAGAAAAATGTGGGGTAGACAGGACCACTGCCAGATGGATCTGTAGCTGGCTGACCAGCTGTACTCAGCATGTGGTCCTCAATGGAACTGCATCTCCATGGAGGGAAGTGTGTAGTGGGGTGCCCCAGGGCTCTGTTCTGGGCCCAGTGCTCTTCAACATCTTCATCAATAATTTGGATGAGGGGATTGATGGGGAACTCATCAAATTTGCAGACGACACCAAG